AATTCTCCTGCCTCAGCCTCCCAGCTAACTGGGACTGCAGGCATGCGTCACCACACCAGGCTAATTTATGTAATTTTAGTAGAGACAGGGTTTCTCCATTTTGGCCAAGCTGGTCTTGAACTCCTGACCTCAAGTGATCCACCCATCTCGGCCTCCTAAAGTGCTGGGATTACAGGCATGAGCCACCAAGCCCGGCCAGTTTATGGATTTAGAAACTGAAACTCAGGCTGTGGAGCTAGGAAACAGCTGCCCAGGAGGCAAATGCAGGACTGATTCCAAGGCCCAGGCTCCTCACTGCCAAGCTCTTTGAGTCCAGAGTCGCTGATAAGTCCTAATAGTGTTAATAATTTACAGTATGCCTCACCTGCATCATTCTAAGTACCTTTCTGATGCTGTCTCACATACCTTTGTGGGATGGGTATCACTATTGTCCTTGGCGTCCACACAAGGAGGTTAAGATATAATGGGTGACAAATCTTATCCAAGGTCCTCAGCTACAAAGTGGTAGAAGCGGGACTTGAACCCAGGTACAAAGTCCACACCCAGGCTTCAACCACTCTGCCTTCCAGGAAGAGTTGGCAGTGTTTAAGAGTCTAGTCCAGGCCAGGCGCAGTGGCTCATGCCTGTAATCCCAGCACTTTGGGAGGCCGAGTCGGGCAGATCATGAGGTCAAGAGATTGAGACCATTGTGGCCAACATAGTGAAAACCTGTCTCTACTAAATTATTTTCAAAAATTAGCTGGGCTTGGTGGCGCACATCCCAGCTACTCAGGAGGCTGAGGTAGGAGAACTGCTTGATCCCGGGAGGCGGAGGTTGCAGTGAGCTGAGATCGCGCCACTGCACTCCAGCCTGGCCCCTGGCAACAGGGCGAGACTCTGTCTAAAAAAAAAAAAAAAGAGGCTAGTCCAGAACACTGTTGTTAGATCAGGGCTCCTGATCCCTAGAACCCTGATTAACACTGCAACCCTGGCCAGACGTAGTGGTTCAAGCCTGTAATCCCAACACTTTGGGAGGCCAAGGTGAGAGGATTGCTTGAGCCCAGGAGTTCAAGACCAGCCTGGGCAACATAAATAAAATACTTGTTCCTTGGTACTGCAAGGAAAAATGAACATTCAGACAAAAAGTTTTCTCAGAAAGGCAATTTCACTTTCTGCAGAAAGGATGCTGTCCATCAGCAATCTTGCCACAAAAGCACAATGAACAAAGGAAAGGCAGGCATATTTATTCCTTACGAATTGGGTCCTTACTGCGATGTCCCGTCTCTGTTGGTTGGAGCCAGACCTCACAATCTAAACAATCCGATTGGCTAACAACTTAAAACCTTTCTAAATAGGCAAAGGCAATGGAGAACAAAGGAAAAAGGAAGCTGCTTGCTAAACAACTTAGAAATGTAATAACATTCCCAAGTAAGGAAGGGCATAGGCTGCGAGCCGGGACATGCCTGTGAGCACATCCAGCACAAATATCTTGCTTAAAGTACAAGGACATAGAATTTACTACGTGCCTGTGAGCATGTCTAGCACAGATATCTTGGTTAAATTACAAGGACATAGAATGTCCTTATTCCCTTTTGTCTAACAGCTGCATAGGATAGGGTTTAACAAAGAGTTATTAGCAAAAAGCAAGAAGCCTTTGAAGAAAGTTAGTTTTTGAAAGAAACTACTATTTCTATCATTTATTATCATTCTTTAACAAGAAGGGAAACTTTGAAGAGGAACTTTTTTCTTTCCACAATATTAAGACCCTGTTTCTACAAAAAAATTTTAAAAATTTAGCCAGGCATGGTGGTGAGCACCTGTAGTCCCAGCTCCTGGGGAGACTGAAGCGGGAAGATTAATTGAGCCTGGGAGTTTGAGGCTGCAGTGAGCTATAACCACACCACTGCACTCCAGCCTGGGTGACAGGGTGAGACCCTGTCTCCAAATACATACATGCTCCCCTGGCTCCCTGTGGGGATAGATAGGGCGAGGGAACCCACTCAGAAAGCAGTGTCAGGTTAAGATGGCCCTGGTGGCTCTGGTACCCCAGAAGACTAAAAAAAGCTACAGTGAGAAATGCTTGGCGTGCAACGCTTGGTAAAGTATGATGCTGGCAGGTGGGCATTCTGGAACAGAAGTCCTGTGGGCGATTCTCCTAGAGACGGCCTGGCTTGACCACAGATGACAGAGCTGTGATGCCATCTGGGCTCTGGCGGTTCTCACGCTGCAGGATTCCAGCTACAAACCTAGCCCGGGGAGAAACAGGCTTAGAAGCAGGTTTTCACACCAAGTCTCAGAAGGCACAGGAAGTGGTTGCTGTAGCAATCATCTTTTCTTTCTTTTCCTTCCTTCCCTCCCTTCCTTCCTTCCCTTTCTCTTTCTTTTCTTTTTTCTTTTCTTTCAACAGAGTCTTGCTCTGTCAGCCAGGCTGGAGTGCAGTGGCGCAATCTCGGCTCAGTGCAGCCTCCGCCTCCTGGGTTCAAGTGATTCTCCTGCCTCAGCCTCCTGAGTAGGTGGGACTACAGGCACCTGACACAATGCCCGGCTAATTTTTGTATTTTTACTAAAGATGAGGTTTCACCATGTTGGCCAAGCTGATCTAGAACGCCTGACCTCAAGTGATCCACCCACCTCAGCCCCCCAGATTGCTGGAATTACAGGCATAAGCCACCATGCCTGACCGGCAGTCACCTTTTAAAATGAATAGGGCCTTGGAGACGGAGTCTTTACTCTCTTGCCAGGCTGGAGTGCAGTGGCACAATCTTGGCTCACTGCAACCTCCGACTCCCTGGTTCAAGCGATTCTCCTGCCTCAGCCTCCTGAGTAGCTGGGACTATAGGCACGAGTGACCATGCCCAGCTAATTGTTGTATTTTTAGTAGAGACGGGGTTTCACCATGTTGACCAGAATGGTCTCAATCTCCAGACCTCATGATCTGCCCACCTCGGTCTCCCAAAGTGCTGGGATTACAGGTGTGAGCCACTGTGCCCAGCCAAATTTTAATCCTAATAATAGCTAATATTGATTACTGAAGATTGCCTATGCGCAAGGCACTGTTCCAAGTTTTTTGTTTGTTGGTATTGACTCATTAAATCCTCACAATCACCCTGTGCAAGTACTACTACTGTCTCCATGTTACAGAAAAGGAAACTGATGCACAAGGAGACTGAGTAGTGTCCAAGGCTACACAGCAGTGGATGGGAAGCAGAGGTTCTGTTCCAGCAGGACACACGTCCACTCCAAGGTGAAGCTATAATACTGATGCCTGGGTCTTCGGGCGGGGGGGGGACGGGGTGGCAAGTGGGCAGAGGTTATCCCTATTTGATAGACAAGTTTCAAAGAGGTGAAGTGATTTGGCCAACATCACACAGCTGACAAACATTAAAACTCATGCTGGAACTCGATCTCTTGAGTCTAAACCAAGGACTCTACTCACAGTTCCCATCTGCCACCAGTGCCCAAGCATGGAGGATACAGGGATCTGGGCTGGTAAGAGGGATGCAGCACAAGACAGGGGGAGTGATGATTCCAAGCCTCATAAAAATCATCAAGTCTAGTAAATTATAAATCACAATAACGACAGCAGCCAAAATCTATGATGTTTGTTTACAATGTGCCAGGCATTGTTCTAAGGCTCAAAATGCAAACTTTTAAGCTGGGCGTGGTGGGTCACGCCTGTAATCCCAGCATTCTGGGAGGCTGAGGTAGGTGGATCACTTAAGGTCAGGAGTTTGAGACCAGCCTGGCCAACATGGTCAAACCCTGTCTCTACTGGGGCCGGGCACAGTGGCTCATGCCTGTAATCCCAGCAGTTTGGGAAGTCAAAGCGGGCAGATCACTTGGCATCAGAAGTTCGAGACCAGTCTGGCCAACATGGTGAAACCCCATCTCTACTAAAAATATAAAAAAATTAGCAGGACTTGGTGGCGGGTGCCTGTAATCCCAGCTACTTGGGGGGCTGAAGCAGAATTAATTGCTTCTTGAACCTGGGAGGAGGAGATTGCAGTGAGCCCAGATCACACCACCGCACTCCAGCCTAGGCGACAGAGTGAAATTCCATCTCAAAAAAAAGCTGGGTGTGATAGTGCATGCCTGTAATCCCAGCTATTCAGGAGGCCAAGGCAAGAGAATCACTTGAAATCAGGAGGTGGAGATTGGAGGTTGCAGCGAGCCAAGACTGACACTACTGAAATCCAGCCTGGGCGACAGAGTGAAACTCCTCAAAAAAGAAGTTAATACTTTTTTTGAGACAGGCTGGAGTGCAGTGGCTTGATCTCAGCTCACTGCAACCTCTGTCTCCTGGGTTCAAGCGCTTCTCCTGCCTCAGCCTCCCGAGTAGTTGGGATAACAGGCGTCTGCCACCACACCCAGCCAATGTTTGTATTTTCAGTAGAGATGAGGTTTCTTCCTGTTGGTCAGGCTGGTCTCAAACTCCTGATCTCATGTGATCTGCCCGCCTCAGCCTCCCAAAGTGTTGGGATTACAGGCATGAGCCGTGACTGGCCGCATTTTTTTTTTTTTTTTTTTTTTTTTTTTTTTTTTTTT